AATACTAATCTATAGACATGAATCCATTTGATGATACATATGTGAGTTTAAAGTTGATTTTGACAGCCCGGCCAAGTCGGACCGAACACCTGTGTGACTGTTGAGAGTATAGGGAGAAGAGGTTTACTTTAACCAACGTGTCTGCTTTAAATACGATGAACAGTGACGTTATAAAGTGGTATTTACTTAGATATAGTACTACCCTCTAAATATAAACGCTATGCCGACAGATGGAAATTCGTATCACGATAGCTAGAAGTATTTGATACGTGTCAAATCTTATTTCGTTTAACGATTGCTCTTTTACATGTTACCTAGATCAGCGACGCTAACACATAGCTCCACTTTCTAGTTTTCAAGTGATTTACTCCGAATTACTTAATTATGGTGCACGTTTTGGGTTGGTGATTTTTCAGTAGTGTCATGTGTGTATGTTGCATCAATAATATGTAGGTATGATCGCCGATAATGAAGTAATTAGCCAATAACACTTTGGCCCGTCTTGGCCCGGCCCGACTTTTAGGCAATGCCGTTAGGTTTCTTTATAATAACTCTGTTATATTTGCACCGATTCAGACTACAAGATTTGTTCGAATCGAAATGTTGAGTAATACTTTATCAACAAACGATGATTATGTAATGTGTTCAGTTTTGTTACAGTTAGAATGTGGTACATGTATAAGTCTATTTTGGGGAACAACTTCATATCTAAAGACAGAGTGGAACTCATCTCCTCAGTAGGATGAGTTGCGTAACCTAAAGACTATGTCTTCTTCGGAATAGACTTTTGTCGGCCGGTCGCAATGGGAAAATTGTGGCTACTTATTCGGAATTTAAAATTTGGCAAGCACGTGTACATGTAATTTCGGATGTGATAAATACAAGATTAATACACCATGTGTGACATGCTTCATTGTGTGTAATCGGCTCCTAAATTAAGGGACATGCATTATTGTTCATGCTGTCAACCACTTGCGTGAATGGGTATGCCTCAGTAATCTACAGGTCACTGACATATAGCTGAAATGTTGATGTTTTAGATATCATATAACATATATCATTTTACAAACATTTTAATATTTTAACAATCAAACTGTCTATTGCTGGATGAAACTATTGCTCTCAGCGTCATATTTTTTCATGCTTATTTTATTCTAAATAGCAAAGATGAACAAAAAACAAAACTGTATCAGTTAAAAGCATATTATTTTTAACATACGCATACGCGATTTAATAGCTTTGGGCGATTGGTTTTGTACGTGGACGCGTATTTTTATTTAGTCGTCATATGTTTTGTGGTCAATCGTAAAAATGCCATTTGTCTTATATCTTCTAGCCTTGCTCCAAGATTGCACTGCATGATGTGTCGATGGATGTATAGTAATTATATCCTTAAAATGGGCAAGTCCAGATAAGCAGACAGTCTAAAGACGTTTTTAATTGGGACTCTTGTTCTTATTATCTATATAATCTAGAAATTATTATTTAAACTAACACTTTGGCAAGTTCGTGTATCTTCCAGTGGCTGGAATTTGCTCGGATCTGAGGAGAGATTGTGGTGTTTGAGGTTACCAGAGTACATTCAATTTACAGGCTCTGTACTGCCCTGGGGCACGGGTGGCCCAGTCCTCTAAGGCGCCGCGATTCGCTGTGCAGAGTTGCGTCCCTTGAGCACGCCAGAAACCTATGATTGTGGGTTCGAATCCCGGTTCGCCCCAATTATGTTTCTAGGTTTGTCAGCACCATACCCGTGCTCGTGGGTTTCACCGAAGTGGTAAACGTCTGAGGCCTGCATCACTTCAGGCTTTCCTCTAACATTAAGCTGACACGCCGTGATATAACTGGAATACTGTTAAAAGCGGCGTTAAACCCAACTCACTCACTCTGTACTGGCCATTACGCTGGGCCATGCCACGTGGGGATTGATTAATGACCAACAGGTATAACTCAAGCAGATGACAATTTAAACTGTTAAAATAGTGAGAAAAAATGATTAAAACAAACAGATCTACTCATTTTATATAAGTATGATATATCTGTAATAGTTTAAGACCTAACATCAGGGATCTGATCAAAGCTAATTAAGTGCCTGACATTTTATAGTAATTTAAACATGTATCGTTCTTGTTCGAGTTTTAAGTTGGTTTCTACTTTTATTACAATCATATTTGCAATTTATTTAAAGGAAATGGTCCGATTTATTAAGGTATGTCCGTGTGTGTATGCTGTGTGTGTTTTCTTTGTCCACGGTAGGGAGATTCGGGCTAGTTTTAATTACACACGTCAAGTGGGAGCTTAAAATTGCTCAAGCTGCCCGTCTCCCGATTGCAAGCATCTCTGTAGTTGACCTTGCTCCAAGGTTGTACTGAATGATAAGTCCATGGGTGTATAGTAGTTCTATAATTATATTAGGCAAGTCTGGATAAGCGCAATCATCACCTCATCATGCATGTTGGGAGTTCTGAAAAGTCTGCACTGCGATATTTTGTTCCATAATAAGAGTTAGCGAATGTGTCATAGTCGATTGAACGTGAACTACCTGATGATTGTGTTTTAAACGTACATAGTTTCTTAATCAATAATCAGCAACAACTTTTGTCTAAGTTAATCAGATTTCTTTCTTGTTAACGCAAACTATAATATCACAATTAAATACATGCAACAATTTTGTGTTCTCTAACAGATACCCAGATGAACCGATTTTCTGTTGAATCCTGTATCAATTTGACAATTTTGTATCTGTTATTCGTCGATAGCTTGTGCATGCGTGTTGTAGTGAATCCCACATGCTGTGTGTACGTTTATTCTTTCCACGTTCATGGGGACATTATCGTTGTACTTGTATGTGGACGCCCTCGTACATTCGTGTGAAAAACAACAAATACACCACAAGGGACATTTTCGCCTTCATGCTTGTTTGACATTATGCACATTTTAAGGCTAAAGAAAATACAACTTTAAATATATCGGTACATCGGCGATGAATTCGGATCAGAATTGGTCCCTAGAAACTTAAACTTGTAAGTGCGAGGCAACACACGATTAAATGGATCGGCTTGTTTGCGTGTCAACGTGCTCCGATGGCGGAATCGTTGTTTTTAGTACAGCTCTTATAAGATGGCTGCCGTCTTATATCTGGAATATTGGTCTACGTTAACAGCACACACACACTTTTTTAAACTAGAGATCTGTAGCCATTTCAAATGCAGGCTCTGCCTATATGTCGTTCAAACCAGCTCACTCACTCTGTTTCGACTTACTTACTTACATTGGAGATTTTACGATCGCTTTCCGACTGAGAGCGTATTTCGCACACGGCGAATGTTTCGACTTTTGAGCACAAAATATATATGAACGAGCTGTGAGTTGAGATATCAGATTTCCACAAGAAGTCGAATAAGAAGGATAAAGGACCCTCACTGAGCAGTTCTTGTTCACTTAAGAAATTCATTAGCAACGTTAGATGATATTGTCATAGCGACTGATTTACGACAACCATTGTCTGAAGAACATTTTATTCCGACGGCTAATTACCCTGTAGCCATGACATGCGCACGTCTCCATAAATCAATTGTCAATATGTATTAGGTGCTAATCTCCGTTGTTAATCCTCACCAACATTTCATTGTATATTGACTGTCAGCCAATCTGGGCTACTATATCACTTTTCGTTAATTACTGTTATTTATAGTATGATATGTACATTTATTGCCTTAACTGTTCATCCCCTGAGCTGTGTCGGTTCATCAGCCCCAAAAGTCGTAAGTCCAGAGCAACGACATTGTCTGTCCATTGTTTTTCATAACTATATATAGTCTGGAAAGTAATTTAAGATACCGACGTTTACTACAATATCTGAAAACCTATTGGACCTACTCCAGTCAAAGTTGGTATGAGATTATTACACAGTCATACATTACTGGATATTGCATTTAAAGACAATAGGTACATGAATAAAAATCTGTCTTTTTAGCTATCACTATATTTCATCAACAAACAGACCTGTTCGTCACGGGTGGAGTGAGTTAGTTGGGTTTTAACGGCGCTTTTAACAGTATTCCAGTCATATCGCGGCGTGTCAGCTTAATGTGGGAGGAAAGGCCGAAGTGATGCAGGTCTCAGACGTTTACCACTTCGGTGAAACCCACGAGCACGGGTATGGTGCTGATAAATCTAGAAACATAATCGGGTCGAACCGGGATTCGAACCCACAATCATAGGTTTCTGGCGTGCCAAGGGAAGCAACTCTGCACAGCGAATCGCGGCGCCTTAGACGACTGGGCCACCCGTGCCCCATATTTGTTAAAATATTTGAATACTTTAAGGCTGAAAGTGAAAGACGTTAGCCCTTCTTTGACATTTCAAAGTACATGAAAAGAACAATTCATGCGTTACAGCTTCCCAAACAAACCGTAGTTAAGATTTTGAACTCTCATGGAAAACACATGCTCCCCTGCACATCCCTTAGGAGGCATCTCAAAACAGAATAGGAAATCAAAGTTAGATTCCTTTGATAAGAAAGTTGTCAGGGACGTGATTCGGCGGTTTACACGAGAAAATGAATTTATTTCAACACGAAAACTAAAACAAATTATCATTACAGAGCATGACTTAGATATTTCCAAGTGGACCATTTGTAAACTCCTTTCCAAATTTGGATATCAGTACAAAAAGACGAAAGGGTCGAAACTAGCAATGTGTGAACGACCAGATATCATTCGTTTGCGTATCAATTATTTGCCTAGTATTAAAAAGAAACAAGGCGAAGACTATGAGCCTGTCTATTTGGACGAAACCTGGGTTAACGCCTGCCACACAGCGGCTTACCAAAGGTCTCACCCAGATACCAGAGAGCATCAGCGCAAGATCCCCCCTAGTAAAGGGGAGGGGAGCGCCTGATTGTCCTTAATGCAGGCTCCCACAGAAGTTTCCTCCCTGGGTATGATCTAGTGTTCAGATGCAGATCTACAGATACAGATGGCAGAGACTACCATACCGAGATGAATAGTCAGGTTTTCACTGCGTATGTTGAGGAGCAGCTCCTCCTAGCACTGCCTGATAAATCCTTGGTGGTTACGGACAATGCTCCCTATCACAGTTGTCGAGATCCTATTAAATGTTGTCCAACCTCAAATTCCACCAAAGGTGATCATGAGATATGTCAGTGGTTGGACAACAACCGCATTGCTCGGCCCACGAAAGCCAAAAAAAATGACTACTACCAAATGGTTCTTCAGAACAAACCCCCGCCCTCTTATTTGATTGACAACATGTTGAGAGAACACGGTCACGAAGTGCTTAGACTTCCTCCTTACCATTGTGACTTGAATCCCATCGAACTAATCTGGGGTGATTTGAAAAATATGGTCGCACGGCAAAATAAGACCTTCAAGCTTGCCGACGTCAAGCAGATTGTCTTGAAAGGGATGGGAGAAATTAAAGATGTACGTTGGGCAAACTGTGTCCAACATGTTATCAAAGTTGAGGAAGAGTATTGGAAACAAGACTGTATCCGACCAGATACTGTCCAGCCTGTTGTTGTTCACTAAGGTGACAGCACAGACTCCGAATCTGACGACGAGGGCATTTCGTGGGACCAAGAATAGTGCAATACATATACCCCTGTTTCACTATGACATGTACTAGCCCGAATTACCACGGATATGAATTCTTACATATTCGTACATTTTCTTAATAATTTCTTAAGAATATTAAATATATCTTATTTGATTCCCAAACATTCTTGTAGTTCGTGGGATTCGTGAGAAAAAAATTGTTTATCAAAGAATTTCTAGTAATCGTCTACGAATTTCAGGTTCGTGCTTTGTAGTACATGTCATAATCGGATCTTGTCCACTTTGTGCAATTCTTGGCTCAGAATTTGATTCTCTTTCACCCGAAACACCACCGAAAGTCTCGAATCATCTACGAAAATATTAAAATATTTTCTTCGAAACCATAAAGCAATGATTTGTCTAAATGAATAATAACATATGATATATTACACCTAATAACATGATGCATGAAATATAATAATGTGGCAAGGAATGATACATTCAAGTCAATAACAGTGACCTGAAAAAGAATACAAAAATAATTGGATAAATATTATTAAATAACTGCTTGAGACGCCCAATGCTAACACCGTATTCGTGCGTGCGTGATTCCCGTGCAACCTTTCGAGTTGAGTTGATTGGTTCAACTGTGTCATATGGCCCTGTGACACAGTGTTAGCATTATGCAGATGGCTGTTACAATGAATGCTCGTTCCACCCGTGACGAACAGGTCTGGTTGTTGATGAAATATAGTGATAGCTAAATAGACAGATATTTTATTCATGCACCAATTGTCTTTAAATGTAATATCCAGTTATGTATGACTGTTTAATAATCTCATACCAACTTTGACTGTAGTAGGTCCAATAGTTTTTTAAGATATTGTAGTAAACGTCGGTATCTTAAATTAACTTCCAGACTATATTTGTTACCATTACACTGTTAGTCAGCTTGGTGTTCCGAGCGTTGGTGTAAGGACGACCTCGAGCAGGATGTGCCCTCGTAGGAAACGTCCTGAGGTTGAGCTGGAGCTCCGCTGACCTCATGTATGCCTGAGCTGGAAGGTCCGCTCATCACTGTGTTTGTGTTGTCAGAGCAGGTATTCCGCTCATTGTGAAATTGTTGTTTATTGTTTACATGTTGTGTATACAGCGTTCCGGGACAGTGCTAATTCCCCATCAACATGAACGTTGACATCTGGCATGATTTTACAACCGAAGTGAGTTACTGCCATTTATGTGAGATGTGCGAGTTTTGACTTCAAAAATACGTTAGTTAATTTTATAAATTTGAATATTATTTTCATATTTTGATATGAATTATCATGCAAGTTTGCGCACTATGACACTATAACCAAAGGCCAGCTGCAATAACGGGCGGTGGCAATAAAGGGCCAAACTGGACTTATTGTGGTATGAGCGGACTGACTCACGGGAATGTTTCTTCCGTGAACGCAACAAAACACAGGCCCACAAGTACATGATGGCAAATATATATCTTCTCTTGGAATGCCAGTAAAACTATATATTTTGTATGTACTTGTATACTTTCAGACTACATGTTTTTGTGAATTAAATAACAAATAGCTTTTGAATATTAAACATGGATAGACCAACCAGGAAAGATATCGATGGAACCAGTTAAATTCACAGCACAATAGAAAATAGTGTTTGATAATACTAAGTGCGTGATCATTGCAATCCCGGTGGCCCCCAATTATGTTTCTAGGTTTGTCAGCACCATACCGGTGCTCGTGGGTTTCACCAAAGTGGTAGATGTAAGAGACCCGCATCACTTCGGGCTTTCCTCCCACATTAAGCTGACACGCGGCGATATAACTGTAAGACTGTTAAAAGCTGCGTTAAACTCAACTCACTCACTCACTCATGTACTTGTCCATTGCAGTAATGTACATACAAGTAAATTTGATTATAATAAATTGGCGATAGTGTTAACTATGATATATCCTTACTTGTCATCGATGAATTGACATCTGACAAAGAACGATAATTCGATATTCTAATTCAAGATATAAATAACTTCGTCATGGGAATGTGCCGGTGTCAGTAGACAAACATTTAGTCCCGGAAATACAATTTTCGTAGTAGATACTAATTAGAATCCAAATGGAGCCCAAAACAATGCTTGATTTGAGGGCCAGAACTAAGGCAATCTTGACTTGCCAAATCATTCTTGACTTGAGTTGGAGTCCTTTTCAAATGTTTCTCTAGGGTCTGGGAGACAGACTACGGTGTGAGTATCGCATGGAGAACTGACTAGTTAGAGGGAATCCCGCTTGGATCAGCCTGGACCGGTGTAATCGGTATCCTCCCATTAGTTACACGTCCCATTGTCAAACATCTTAAAACAACATAGGTCATGGCTGAAGGCACTAAGTATTAGAATGGACTGCTCCAAGAAAAGTAGGAAAGGAATGTCTCTGAATATTCGTTGTATACTCCAACATTGCATAGAAGCCTGTAGCAAAGTCAATGAAGAACATGTTCCCTTCAAACAAACAAAGGCATATTGTGACAAATGAAATATTTTCGTGTGCATAAATCGAATCCGAAATGTCTACTTCGTTTGCAGAAAACATTCCAGATATCAATACTCTCCGTTAATACTTTCAACATGTACATGCATTTCATATTTGGTATATTGACGTGGTCCCAGCTGGCAAACAAGAGTTCTAAGAGCTTACTGTTGCATGACTTCACATATTCATCTGGGGCAACAGTTTCTTTTTTGCAACCAACTGCGTCGTCACTGATTTTTTGTGATCCAATATATTTTCACCGCTATTCATAACATTAAATGGATTTGTTTCATTTGAAAACCGAACTTGGTTATTCTCTTGCATTTCGATTACATATTTCTATGGCTGTTTACGACATAAGTATTGGTTGATAACAACATCTGGTGTTATATGACATATAATATTTCTATACCAGAAGGTTTTCTTTTGTCATAGCTATTTGATATTGACCGGGCCACAGATTTCAGCCAGAGGTAAGCTAATGTGTTTTAAATAATATTTTATTCATGAAACAATAGTTAAAAATTAATTTGTGTTTACCGTTATACTTGCTCATGTAGCCGTCGTATACATATAAAATATAAAATGTTGTGTCCAGTCATGTGTGGAATTGAATACAATATTGGAATAAGGAACGTGTTCATAAGGCGAGACATTTCAAAACAATATACAATATAAGGTGTTGAAGATCTTCTTTGGTTGACTACAAAATACAGTTTTTACACGTGCACATACCTTAGCTACATCATACTTTATATATATATATACTACATATTATTTTGTTATCTTTAAATACCCACATCGAAAATCAATCAACATCCTAGAAATACAATTTTCGTAGTTAAAATCATAAATCTACTTAATAGAATCCAAATGGAGCCCAGAACAATCCTTGATTTCAGGACCAGAACTGAGGCATTCTATACTTGATAAATTATTCTTGACTTGAAGTGCGTTTCAAATGTATTCTCTAGGGTCTTGGGGACAGAAAGACTAACACTTAGTCAATGAAAACATTTCTTTTAGTCGTATGAACTTTTCCTCTTCTCCTATTTTGGAATGAAGCAAACTTGACTTGGTAAGTTGGATCTAGACTTGCCTAGACTTTTAGTACACAAAATACCTAGAAAATATAAGTTCCACACTCATGGCGCAGGACTATGGGACAGACTACGGTGTGAGTATCGCATGGAGAACTGACGGAATCCCGCATGGGTCAGTCTGGCCCAGTGTAATCGGATATGTTGCTGAGTCTTGAGTTTGGACTGTTGCCATAATAGAACGTAAACAAGCTAGGGCACAGTGGTGTAATAAAGGGGTTATTTTCATTTCGGGATTGTTAATGTAGTGATGAAAGCATTACCCACACACAATTCGTATTAATAATTCGATATTCATAATAATGCTACGCTACACGATGGCGACACAAAATTGTACCAGCATTACACATATGAATATTACTTTCTTGTTCTCGGGGTACATTGATCACTTTGAAGTTGAAACATGTATCTAAAAAGTAATTTTGTAGGTTTAGAAATATACACTTCCGACATTTCTAGTTTTAATTTATTTTCTTTGGGAAAGAGAAGTAGTGACAGTAGTGACTGGTATATAGTGGATGCAAACAGGTGTCGAGTCACTGTCTCAGATGGCTCGATTCGCTTAGACCTAAATATTTAGGGGGCAAACAGCACTTGGCTTGCAGGTCCGTCTCGCAGTCCCCAGACCATATTATTTTCCCAGCCCTTACGCTAATGGTATAGCCCTATATGAAGCAAGCCTAGATTTCCCACTGTTTTGGGTTGAAATGTCCATCTCACTAGGGCTCCTTTTCAAATTAAATGCATTTGCTTGTTTCTATCAAAATAATATATTTTCAGAGACCTTGAAGCACAACGATCCTAAAGATCCCAGCAAATGTATCATTGTTTTGTAAGCCCAGATTTCTTCAGATATGCACAATCAGACTCTCTATACATGTCCCTTCCGATGATGTATCAAAAGCCAGTTAACTTTTTTTATGATATAATTTCAATTCATAGGGTCTACGTTAAGTTAGATGCTTGCTGAACAGATCAACAGATCCCCATTTGTCCGTGTGCTTTTTTCAACACTGGTGGATAGGTTATGTGTGCATGTATATCCTCTAATATCCCTTTGCGAAAACACATGTAATGATGAATTAAAATAGGAATACTACACATACAATAACACATTTTGTTACATGAGGTTGGACTTTACTGACTGTAACAAATAACTAACTGCATGTGGTTTGTTAATCGGCCATTTTCATATACATGTCCATATGTATACATCGGTTTGTTTATATGTAAATGGTCTCCTCGCAATCTATATTCGTGCATTTGTCTCTATTTCTACATGACGTTATGGAATATATCACTGTGGTTATATCACATCAGAGAGCCCAGTCCATGTATGAAACCTTGATTGCTG